ACCCACCCGAATCCCCCCATGCACTGCACGTGGCAATCGGCAATAAAAAATAAAAATAAGAGGAAGAAATAAGAAGGTATAATTGTTGGTAGAAATAAATATAAACGACAGAGCAAATGATAGGAAAAAGCAAATTATTTCAACCCATCTTACTTTCCCTCAGACAAATTATTATAACAAAAATAAAAATTAAAAAAAAAAAAAAAAATAGTTGTCCCCATTAAGAAAAATAAATAAAGTCATCAAAGAGTCACCATATATATATGTATATATCCGTCAAAAAAAAAAAAAAAAAAAAAGGTCTAATCATTCCTTTATTTATCTGTCACATTTTACCTCATTTTAAATATAGTCATGGCGAAGGATGGCTCGACACACCCAGGCAGCGAAACCATTTCCATCTGAAGGCTCCAGCGAAGAAGATGCTGACTGCTTCAATTCATCTGTGCCGTGCTGATATAAAACCTCCAATTCAACCTTCACCCGCAAATGTTGCATTTTTAAAGCCTCCTCATACCAAGCATTATCGGCATCATTGTCCTTCCATTCACAACCCTCCCTTATGCCATGCCATCGAGACAAGAGATTTGCCATCATTACGACATCGCGTTGACTGAAGCGCTGAAAGGGAAGACGAGGCAAAAGACGAAGTTGAAAAGGCTCCGAAGCCACACTATTGTCTGAGTCAAGAAAATTCGGTTCACGTCCTTCCGCAATGTGATGAGTTCGCAAGCCAAGCCAGTGAAGAGCATGAACTGCGGCATATTGGCTCTCACGCATACCACCCGCGCCATATTTGTATTGCTGCAAAATAGAGAGTCCACTTGGGTTGTAGTCCACAAGCGCCACAAGCGGAGCACTTTGTGCGGCTCGATGCAAATTGGACAAGAGAGTTCGCGCTGCAACCGTAGGAAAACCGTGAGACGTGAGCAATACACATGGAAGCCGCTCGAAAATTCGCTCCTCCATCAGTCTAAAAAACACGGCATGCTTCTCCACAACAACGATGTACCGCGTCTTTCCATGGATTTCAAAGCCAATAAAGGGGACGTTGTCCTTATTGGACGCAGCTGTGCGGTCCACATCGCCCTGAACGACGCGCAGCTCTTCTTGTGTCGTCGGCAGCGGTAATCCCTCCGATCCGTAGCAGCGCAAATCAACGCCGTGAAAACTTATTGACCCGCCAACACAGCCACGTGTTCCGGGAACGACACCGAGCCACTGCCGCGGGATGCCAATTATCTGCACAAGCTGCTGGATGACACGGTTAATGCAACCCTGGTCAGGAACAAGACGGGCAAGGCGGTAATAAACATCACGTTGCGTGCTAATAATTCCGCAGTGAATATTTTGGTACAGAAGGCGGAGGACCAAAAGCTGCAGTCGTATCACACGTAGCCGACTTTCTCGAATTGTCGACCGCTGCGTCGTGGTTACAATCTCGTGAATCGTCTGCAATACAAAAACCTCCATGCGACGAACAGCCTCATCTGTGATTGCAGCGGGTGTGTTAACCGCCACAATGTCTGGGCCTATAAATTCATCCTCGGATGAAGCGAGAACGGGCCTCTGTTTCTTCTGTCTTGTCAACCGCTTTGCAACAACTGCTGCTGCGGATGTATTCGATGATGACGGAGACGATACGGCAGCCTCCATCGCCGTCCCTTTACTGATTGGTGAGAGAAGGGCAAGCAGTGTTCATTATACGTCAAGACGTGGAAGCCACAAAAAAGGAAAAAAAAAAAAAGATAGACTGAAAAACAAATGCAAATTGAATACAAGACGTTTAATCACATGTGTAGGGTCCCTCACATGAGCAGCACCTTCCTTCATCGTCCACCCACACACATACACGCAAAGACAGACAGACAGAGACAGAGAGAGAGAGAGAGGGGAAAGGAAAGAAAGAAACGCACCATCATTTACCCGTGTTCTCCTTTATTTTATTTTTCCGCCCCTCAGTCATCAACTTTCCTCTCGAGCCCTCTTCCGCATATCGCGCTGCCGCTGCGCCCACAGCTTTGACACGGACTGGGAGAAGTCCACATGAATGCGGTGGTCATCCACTAGGGCCTGGTCCATCTTCTTGAACGCTCTGTAGCACGCTTCAACCTCTTCAAACTCCACAAAGCCGTAACACAACGAGTTGCCCGTCTTGTGGTCCCGCACAACATCCGTTGACACGACACGACCATACTGCGAAAAGCACATCCTTAGGCCCTCGCCAGTTGTAAGCGGGTTAAGTTTACACACAAAAAGCACATTTTCCGGCGGTTTCAGTGCTCCAGAAACATCCGCGATACCGTCCAACAAATTCAGCATAAGTGTCCGTGTCTCATTAAGTTTGTCTTGACGCATCCGCATAATCGCCTGATGCCTACTTTCACGTTCCTTTCGAGATTCCGTACGTGGTGCTTCATCGTCGGAACTAAGATATTCACCGTGGTAATGCGGATTGTACTCCACCGACTGCACTTCTTCCGTGTCACCGCCCAAATGATATTCTTCTTGCGACCGATTCTCATCAATCAAAAAGAAATCGGTTCCCCGAGATCCTTTCGCCTCACCCCCTGCAGTGGCAATATCTTTCATAATTTTAATGATCATACGATTCGCGGCCCGCACCGTTTCTTTTTCAGCCCAGTGTTGAAAGCAACCGGCAGCCGTAAGCGTCGAGCCTAATTTCTTCTGCTGCGAGAAAGCACGACTGTCACCAATGCCATTATACCAGACATCTGAAAACATTTCAGTCCCTGCTGTTGGCAAAACAGTCGCATGTTTGATGCGTATAAGTCGAGTGGGACGGGTCCCAACGGCAGACGCGGAAGATAAACGTTGATACGGAGCAGCTCGTAACTTTTCAATGACGCCAATGCCCTCACGCACCTCACCCACCACCATAAAACGATGTTCAAAGTACTCCAGGTGCCGATTCCCCAGTGTGAACACAAGTGCGCTTTTCCGAGCACTGACGCCGTCAGCCGTGGGATCCGCCTTCGGTGGCACCTCAAGCAGCAGTAGGCCCCGACGATTAATCAGCCCCACCTCCCCTGCCTCGGGCTTTGGTAGAAACTCCACAGACACCTTCCCGCTGCGCCGCTGCAGTTGGGCCGTGTACCTCTTCATGCGCTCCCATTCCGCCAGCATGAGGCGATCCACATTAGCTGCCCTTCCATTCCCATTTCCCTGGTTGTTTCCACCCGCCTTTTCCACACAAGAGTAAAATGTCGATCCTTTCAGAGCCTCTACTGGGTGTGAGAAAATGATTATGTTGTCAGGTACCACCTCTGTCGCTATGCAGCCATTAAAGTACTTGCAGCGGCACATGTTGACAATTTCTGCTGTTGCAGCGGGACAGTCAAGGCCGTAAAGATCAACTACGAACGCGCCAATGGAAGTCTCAATGAGCACGGCTGATGTCACCAAAGGACGAGATCCCTTTGAGCCTTCTTTTTGCATCTGCGCCTATATATATATATATATATATATATATATATATATATATATGTATCTGAGTGTCACGGTCCCCTTTTATTGATTTAATTCTTCCTGTTGGTTCCCTGAAGTTGTGAAAAAATGACGTCACCTCCTTCGCTATTTAATTCTTCCGATTTCCCCCGTGGAATCAGACACATAAAATCCCGCACAGCTTTCCGCCTGTACTTTGGTGAGTGTATTTGTGTGTGTGTGTGTGTGTGTGTGTGTGCGCGCGTAGGTTCCACCCCTCGTCTTTAGCAGTAACAGTGACGCAGAAGAAACGTGTGCAAACGTACCAAAAGATATAAAAAGAAAAAAAAAAAAACCAATTTGCGGCAAAGCCCATAACTCGGAAGAAAATCAAGAAGCAAAAACAAATAAAAAATAATAATAATAAAGGTACTACATGTAACACCGGGAAGAAATTTAAAAAGAAGTAATTGGAAAAATGACAAACAAACTGTACTACTCCTCTTTACGTGCTTTTCCAAAATTCACAACAAAAGGGAAAGTGCAAGAAGTAAGGGACCTCATGTGCGTTGGACGTATGTTGCTGGAACCCACTCCTTAAAACACGCCGGGCACTCTCTCCGCTGTCGGCACCAACTTTGTATGCAGTGATCGTGGAATGTGTGATCACATGTCCCACGTACCACGTGGCATTCTTCTACAGGGTTCCCCTTCCCGCGACATCCCAGACAGCATTCCTCTAAGTGCAACTTGCACACGAGGCACTCAAGTGATCCAATCACCGGGTGCTCGTACGCAAAGAAAAGAAATGCCTCCTTCATTATGACGGGAATACTACACTCCCTCTCCGCATTGGTGCTCGTACTTGTCATTGGACAGCTAGAAAATCACAATAAAAAGAAAAAAAAAACAACAACCTGTGCATTCTCACGATATAAGCATGCAGATCGCCGGTGCAATGGCAGCGGGATGAGCCCTTCTCCTTCCCCTTTTTTTTTTTTTCTCCTGGACAAAACACGCAGGAAATTGAGAGCAAAGAAAACCGACAGCGTTGCCAAAATCCACCAGAAACATGAGATCATCGAGTCACACATAATGAGAAGAGGCAACTGTGTGAATGTGACATTGGAAAGAAGTAACGCCGCTGGCATCCGCGAGCCAAGAACCTTTTCATAAAAAAAAAAAAAAAAACCGGCTCCAAAACCTCGACTCACCTCGACTCGTGTCCAACCCACAAGCATGGGAAACAGCAGAAACAACTGACCCTTTTTTAATTTATTCCCAAGTTTGGTGGTTGCCCTTTGGACTCCTTTTTTAATGATTTCTTCCTCTCTGTTATTGATGTCGGTTTTCCTGCAGGTTCTTTCTTTTTTTTTTTTCTTTTTCTTTTTACCCCGTACCCTACCAGCGTCCATCTCGCTTTCACCACATGTCAGATATCGTTCCTTGTGGTCTTGGCAACCTTCCACTCCCTTCCGCAGATGGGACACTGCGGACGCTGCCGCACCCACCTTGAGATGCAGTGTTTGTGAAACACGTGATTGCAGACGCCCCAGACGATGAGACAATCCCCCGTGAGAACACCGCCCCATGCCAACGACGCCGTCGCCATCGCGGACCCTAGTGGTGGCGGATGGTGCTCTTCATGCTCGTGTTTAAACTCAGCAACTACGCTTGATCGATTGCGTTGTAAACTGTCGCGCTCGTTTCTGTTATTCCCCTCGTCCGCGAGGCTGGTGGTGTTGCCGCTGCTAATACCTCCTCCCATGCCACAGCACTCAATGCATAAATCCGCTATAGTACTCTTGCAAATGGCACATGTCCCTACCTGCACATTCCACGACCATACAGCGACCATGTCCCACTGTTTTGCCGTAATGCTGCAGGTATCTCCTTCGTAGGTCCTCGATACATCTTCAGATGCATTGCCATGTAGCACCGTTCTCTCCATGCAGCCGGGCCCTTAAGAGCAAAAATACAAGTCTAAAACAAAAAGAAAAAAAGAAAAAATCATTGGAAGGAAGGCTGTCCATCCGCATCTCCCTTGCGCCAATAGGCCAAAACTCGTTTCACAAACCACAAAACACAGACATACAAGTGGGTGCATATATATGGCAAACGAAAAAAAAAAAAGACAATACTCAGTGAAATCGAGTACTCACGTCTTCTAAGAGTCTATCATGAGCTCGTGCAACGCGAGCACTTTCCCACTGGAGACGCTCCAATTTCAACGTCATCTCCCGCAATTGCCGAGACTTCTCTTCGTCCTGCGCCAAGAGCTGCTGCACGCGTTCGTTGCACGACAATGCTTGCTTTTGGTTCATCCGCACGGCCTCCTG